CCCCATCAGGTGGTGGGTTTCTCAGACACGGACGTGGCAGAGCTGCTCTTCTCCCACCCGTCCATTCAGGAAGCAGAGTTCACGAAACGGCTGTGCCAGGACATGACTCCCACGTGCAGGAAGCAGCCGCCTCCCGTTCCCAAGGTATGGACGAACAGCAATCGAGTCTGCTTTTGAGTCGACTCAAAAGCAGGTACGGACGAACAGCAATCAAGGTGATTGTAGACGAGAGTGGACGAGAGTAGACGAGAGTAGACGAGAGTAGACGAGAGTAGACGAGAGTAGACGAGAGCTTTTTTACTCCCAGACGTCCATTCCATGACAGGGCTCACGGAACATTTGATAAAAGTAGAGTTTTGAGTCGTCTCAAAACATTCCATGACAGGGCTCACGGAACATTTGTGCCACCACATAACTCCCACATGCAGAAAGCAGCCGCCTCCCATTCCCAAGGTATTATGAGCTAGCAAACAGCTTTCAGCAGGTCCTTTTTGAGATGGAGAGGGAGAGGGCACCAGCAATGCAAGTGAGCTGTCTATCCCTTCACGCACCAACTGAATATGCTTGTGTAGGTGTGTGTGAGTTGGTATGTGTCAGTGCATGTCTGTGTCCGTGTGCACACACATGCGTGTGCGCGTGTGTGTGTGGTCGTTGCCATACATGTTACACGAGGATACGCATTCGTGGGATGCACCACCCGTGTATGCCATGTGTGTGTGTGCCTGTGTCACCATTCCACTGCCACCTGCTGCTCTGCAGGGCCGTAAAGCAGGAACGCGTGAGAGGTGGAGAGGGAATGAGAGGCAGTGCTGCTTCTGGTACATGCGTCTGTATATCCACTGCTACTTGCTGGTCTGCAGGGTCGCAAGCCAGGGGAGGCGTTCCAGAGGAAGAGCAGCACTGAGGTGGAGAGGGAGCGGATGATGCGAGACATGGACTTGAAGTCCGAGAAGTACCGGGAAGAGGTGGGTGTCTGTGTGGGCGGCATGCCTTGTCGGCTTGTGTGTGAAGCTAGCTGTAATGATAGGGAGGTGGAGAGGGAGCGGATGATGCGAGACATGGACTTGAAATCCGAGAAGTACCGAGAAGAGGTGCGTGTGTGGGTGGATGGCTGGCATGGCTGTACGCTTGTATGCCCAACTAGCTGAGCACATGGGTGGAAAGGGAGAGGATGATGCGAGACATGGGCTTGAAATCCGAGAAGTACCGAGAAGAGGTGCGTGTGTGGGTTGGCGGCATGCCTTGTCGGCTTGTGTGTGAAGCTAGCTGTAATGATAGGGAGGTGGAGAGGGAGCGGATGATGCGAGACATGGACTTGAAATCCGAGAAGTACCGGGAAAAGGTGCGTGTGTGGGTTGGCGGGCGGCATGCCTTGTCGGCTTGTGTGCAGAGCTAACTGTACAGATAGGGGGGTGGAGAGAGGAAGTGGATGGTCTGAGACTTGGACCAGGAAGGGGATGCAGTGGTACCGTGAGGAGGTGCATGGGAGGAGGGCAAGCACATCAATATCAATGAAGAATGCAGTGGAGATCAAGCTTACATCCTTGGCTCGAATCTACTGTACTGCATAAGTTGCCGGGAAATCCAGCGTATGTTGGTCCTCTCTCCCTCCCTCCTTGTTCTATTTGCGCGTCCCCCTTGTTCTCTACAGAACCCCCGTGCCCCCCGCATGCCCAAAATGAAGCTGTACTCGCGTGATGACCTCTTAAAGAAGACGTCTGTAGGGGGGATGGGGATGGGTGAGGATGAGGAGGATGAGGAGGAAGGAGAGGAGGAGGATCCGGAGGAGAAGCTGAGGAACGAGTTGGGACCGGGGACGAATGTCGACATGGAGGCGATTCGTGCTGCTCTGAAGGCTGCAGACGAGAAGGTGAGAGGGGGAGGGGGGGACTGGAAGATGCAGTTTGAATAGAACCTGAGGAACGAGTTGGGACCGGGAACAAATGCCAACATGGAGTCGATTCGAGCAGCTTTGAAAGCTGCAGACCAGGATTGTTTTAGGCTAGCCAAGGAAACAGTAGGCTCTGGGAATACGCGGGGATGAATCGAGCAACTCTTGAGGCTTAAGGTAAAAGGGTGTAAAGGGGGGTTGTGAGAAAGAGACATGGATAAAGGAAAAGAGGAAGATATCCAAGATAAGCTGAGAAACCTCAAACCTGTTTTTCATGCACGCTCGTACTTTCACTTCTTTGGTTGACCTGTTACATGGTACGTTGGCGATTGCTTTAAGTCGCTCAATAAGACTTTTAAAATCTTTGCATTGCATGTTGGCTCGTGCACGTTGCAGGAGAAGCAGCAGGAAGCAGCACTTAACTCCCCTCTTCGTCGAATCTACCTTTCCTCGCAAGCCCTTATTCAACGAGCCGCTGACACGGGAAGCACACTCATCAAAAGATTCCAAACCAGTGCTGCTGGGAAGCACACAAGCAAGCTCATTCGACAGGTCCAGCGGAGCCAAGCGGTTAAGCAGGCCAAAAGAGCATTGATCAAGGTCAAGAAGAGTACTGTTGGGAAGCAGGTTGTGTCGATGGTGCGACGGGTGAATGAGATGGTTGGTGAGGTTGGGGAGAGAGCTTTGCGTATGGGTGAAGGAGTTTTGTCCAGGATTTTACCAGGAAATGGGGAGGGGAGTGGTAATAGGGATGGGCATGGGGAGGAGTTGTGAATGTTGGCCTTAGTTATAATGGCTGACTGCTCAAGTTTCAGCTAGTAGTATCTGAAATACACTTCGGATTCAGTCCAATCAGCTGGCACTCGTACCAGCATCTGTTGAGCTTGTCCCTGTTCTGTGCCTCGTCAAAGTGTTAGCATGTTTGTGTTGAAGTATTTTCTCTTTCTATATCGATCATAGCTAGTGCAGTTGACTTCAGCTAGTTCAAGTAGCTGATCGCGAGGCTGCTTGCAAGGACCTATTTGTGTTTCCGTCAGGGTCGGGGAAAACCCAACAACATTGGTTTGTGAAACCAGGTCTTGTATGAGCCTTCTGATTGGTTCACAAGGAATGCCGAGCGTGACGTCTTGATGGTACGGTACGTCTTGCTGCCGTGCCTCGAACGTCACCTCACCTTCCTCACCACAACACCGCTCGTACACGCCTGCTGCGCTGCAGCCCTCCTGGCGCGGGCAGCCCCGCTGGTTTGACCTCCGCTCCAGGCCAGGTCTCCTGGGCCCTGTTCGGTAGCCCAGCAAGTTATACTGCGGTTGGTGCGGAGGATCTTCCTCGCCCAAATTCGAACCCTGTTAAAGCCCACCGAATCGTTATTAGAACAACAGACCTGCCCAGTGTGACTTGGCTACCGAACGCGTAAGAAACCCAGTCAGAGTGAGGGCGAGGACACTTGCTACGAGATTGCGAGCACAGGCAAACTCGACGATCAGTGGAAGTCTAACCCATTTCTGCTTTCTAGTTCCACCCAGGCAGGCCTGCTCCCAGTGGCATGCTGAAGGGTATACGTCTCGTTAGTGTCTTTTCGGGTCAAATTAATACATTTTGATCCGTTTGTCAAAAAATGAGAGATCTTGTTCATATTTTTCCCTTTTCCATATCGAGGGGTTTCTACTTGTCGGGCTGATTTTTTGTTTGTTAATCAGGCAGCCCCTTACAGAAGTGAAAAAATGTTATTGAGATTTCTTCATAAACACATGGTAACTTCTTGTAAATACGGACGAGACTTCCTTCCAGTGTGATTAGAGGCCCGAGGCTACGAAACAAAATGTAGGCTTCCCCAGTTCGAGTCGGTCCAGTGTGACTGGAAGGCTACCGAATAGGGCCCCGGCTTGTAGCCTAGTGCCTACTCTCCCCTTGAATTCTTCCGCTCCGCCCCAGCAGACCCACCAGCAAAATTATTCCCTATGACCTGTCCCGTCTCGTGCCTCAATTGAGCGAACTTTTCGCAACAACTCCCTCCTATCCGAGGAACCCATCCCTCCCATCCAGGCCTGTCGCTTGCAGGGCGTTTGCCCTGCTGGACCTTGAATTCCAGGGCTGGGTTGCCCTTGAAAACTGAAATTGATGGGTTGAGAAAATTGTGGCCCTGATTCATTACAGGGCTGATTTCGGGCTTTGGTCTGGAGTATGAAGGGTAGATTTTAGGCGAGCCCTGGAACAAAGTCTTTCGAACTTCCCCTCCCACTCCTCCCCCCCCCTCCCCCCCCAAACTCCTCCATTCCCCCTCCCCCCGTTTCTATTTTGATTGCATTCAAGCCTGTCAAATTTGGAGTTGCGTGGCTGGACCACAGATTCAACTCAACCAACAACTGGTACTTGTACCAATTACAACCTCGCTCCCATCCCATGACACACAGACAGTAGCATGAATCAACATGCAGCAGCAAAACACATCTCAGATCCCCGTCATGTTGTGCACCCTCAGGCCTGAATGGGCATAGCAAGCAGCAAAACACATCTCAGATCTTTGCTAAGAGTTGGAAGAGGAGGAAGTCTGTTACGCGTGCGTAGTGAATGACGCTAACTAGTTTTTTTATTGCTAACTAGCTAATTTGATACTAGCGGAGTGCAGCTGTCAGCTTTGTGGTAGAACTGAGGCTGCAGAATTTTCCGTGCCAAACCTGATTTACAGGGAGGAATAAATTTCAGCCCTGAAGCCTAAAGGGCCGAGATTCGCCCCGACCCTGCTAAATACAGGGTCGTACATGCCGGGCCCCCTGATTTGTCCGGGGGGGCCAAAACGAAACGACAGCCCTGCTCCCATCCCATCTCCTCACAGTGTCCCCCTTTTCCACACCCGTTACCGTTCCGTCAAGTTCCGTCCCATCCCTGCCTTGTTCGCTTCGGTCAACCCAGCCCATTCACAAAAATTTCACACTTCCGCCTCCGTCCCCGTCAGTCGCTCACTCCTAACGGATTTTCCACCCTGCCAGATATATTTCATCATCATACTCTTGTCACGACACATACATTATTCCTTGGTCCTCAATTGACTTTCCAACCGTACTCGTGTAACTCTCAGGCTTTCCCTTCGTGTTTATCGTCCACAACCATGGACTCGGCGAAAGTGGTGAGCTTGACAGCATGAGCGAGCTTCAATTTTGTCTTTGCGGGCTGTTTTGTTTCTTTACATCGGGCCACCTTTTCGATGTCATGCTAATTCGCCGTGAATCTCCTCGCAGGCTCTCTTGTCCACCAAGGACAGCGAGTTTTCAGAGTTTTACTCGGATTATTTTTCGTTTCCGTGTGGTACTGATTCACCTTTTTATCCTCCAATCACAGGCTCTTTTGTCCTCCAAGGACAGCGACTCCACCGTCAACGGCTTGGAGGCTGGCGTTCGCCGCCTCGGCCTTCCTACCGGGTCCTTTTTGGTGCGTTTCCGAAGCGCTAGTAGCTTCTCGTTCAAATGCTTAGAGTCTTTCCTCTCATTTCTCAGAACTAGCTTTCTTGAGGAATGCCTGCAACCTTTTGCTAAAACGGGATATCTGCAGAATCTTGTTGTGCTGCGTGTTGGATGCATTTCGCCAGTTGTCGTTTGCTGTCTGTGAGGCGTCACTCAAAGATTCGATGTTCTTTCGTCTCTTAACGCTTCGTCATTTATCCGTGGGTGGAAAACAGCGCGTGAACCGCAAGGGCGATGACCTTTTGGAGATTATCCTTCCGCGCAACAGTTTTACCTCCCATTCTCTCGTCCTCCACGTTCTTTTTCCAAACTCGTCGCCATCTATCCGTTGCCTTTTGGTGAAAACAGGGCGTGAACCGCAAGGGCGATGACCTCCTGGAGATTAACCTTCCGCGGAATGGTTTCACATCCCGTTGCCTCGTCCTCTACACCTTTTTTCTGGTAAAGCCATGTTTTCCTTCACATGTGAACCTTGTTTTCGCCTGTCCTTTTCTGCTAAACAATGCCTTTGTTTCATTGTCTTGAAGCTCGCGTCTCTAATTTCCAACCGTTTAACACTTGGTTGGGTTTGCCAGGGTTTGATTGGGTAACGAAAGTCGAAATATTTGACGAGTGGGTGAAAAAAACACAGCGAACTCCAAAAGAGTCGAGGCCAAAACAAACCAGGGTGGATTGGTTTGGGGGGAAACTGAGCCAAGGGTGACAGGTTTGGTCCTGGGTTCTGTCACTGCTGAGTTCAGAGTCTCATATTTTCGGGAGTTGTAAACACTTGGTGTGCACGGGGAAGTGTGCGACAGCCAACTTTCCCAACCACCCCTTGCTTTGGTGTGCTTCGCGACAAACTCTGCTGTTACCGGCTTCCAACCGTTTAACACTTGGTTGGATGGCAGAAATATGAGACGCGAGCTTTAACCTACTGCCGAACGTATAGCTGCTTCCTGGCAGTGTCCCTCCTGCTATTCCGCCGTTTCACTTCAGAACTCTCGTTCCACCTGTCGGCTTTGCTGCTCCCAGATCTATGTTGCAATTTTCGCCGTGTTCTTCATCGACCTTGATGCGCTCACTCCGTCCAACGCAGATTTTTGCTCCATGTGTCCCCTTATTGGCCTCGGGTCACTGGTCCTTATGTAAGTAGCACCTTTGCATAATCTTGATGCGCTCACTCCTTCCGAGCCTGATTTCTGCTCCATGTGTCCCCTTATTGGCCTCGGTTCACTGGTCCTTAGGTAAGCACCTGTACATAATTTTGGTGCGAGCCGAATGTTTTCCCTTGACGTTCCTACTTCACGTCTTGTGGATTCCTACTGTGCAGGGTGTTTTTTTTTTTTTTTTTTTTCCATTACATTCATTATACCTATTGGTTATCAAGTTTTTGGCTTATCACCTTCGCTTCTGTCATTACTTCAATTTGTACTGTCCCTACTATTTCCAAAAATCCATAAATAATCCCCTCCTTTTCAGCGTTTCCATCATTATGGTTGTCAAGGCACTGACTCGCCGCCTCCTCACCTTCACCCGCTCCGAGTTCACGATGACTTCGTCCTTCCTTGGCCGCAAGTGCTGCTGCCGCAAGTCTTCTGTGAACGGCAAGGCGTCCGACATCTCCAATGTCAAGATCGTGGTGTCTGGGGTAAGTGGATAGGAACTTGTGTGTGTGCGTGTGGGGGCGGGGGGCGGGGGGTATATGTGGGTCTGTCTGTGTGCAGGTGGGTGGGTGTGTGTGTGTGTGCGTGCGTGCATCCGTGCGTGCGAGCATGGTCATCTTCTGAAATGTCTCCATTTGTCGAATGCCATTGGAAGCTGTCTGACTGTTTTTTTTTCATATGTATGTCCACCCTGTTGCATGCTGTCTCACTTCAGGGCCAGTTTGCGGGATTCATGACAGCTTGCGAGGTCTCGGAGGGCGTGCGCACGCACCGCTTTGGCATGAACCTGAGCGTGAGCGAGAAGCAGTACCTGGTGCAGGAGATTGGCGATTTCCTTGCCTGCCCCTACTCCACCCAGGTCCAGCTGGCATAAATGGTGTAAATACAGCGCTCGCGGGTGCATGTATAGCACTAAAAGATGTACTAGGAGTGGGAGTGGTGTGTTAAAGCAATTCGATTCGCAGAGCTGGCTGGCTGCCCTGTGTGATGCCAGCTCGATGGCTAGATGCCCGTGCTCATAATGTTTACAGCTACCGTAGTTTGGAATGCAGCATTAGGAAGATCCGCGTGGCTTTCCCATTTGCCATATACAAAATGTGATTTATCTTCTGTACAGATGATCCACGTAGTTTGGTAAGTGTAGTACAACATAGGCAGAACTCTGACATGGGTGCTGCTGAGAAAGGGAAGTGCCAGGCATACCGAACATACAAGCATGTCTGCAATGCTCCATGCTTCAAGAAGAAGCTTCATTTACTTTCAACAGGTGACAGCGTAACAGGAGCATGGCCTGGGTTGGCCAACACATCGTCCAAATCACTAGAATCAGCCTCGAGCTTAGCCTTGAGAAATGCCACCACCAGCCCAGCAGTTGCCACCCGGGCTTTCACTTTCTTCTGCCCTCCAGGGCAAACATTGACCGTCACCCGCATATCGTTGTTGAAATCAGCATGGCCATACCTGGGCATGACCACATGATATGCCGAGTCTGCAAGATCCGAGTAATAGTACTTGTGGCCGAAATACGCTGGTGCACAGGGCATACCACCTGGTTGGTTTGGAATGGGGCCCAGCCCTGCTCCTATAACGAGTACAGGAATGCCGAGGCTGATGGAGCCTGGTCGGTGGGTCAGTGTAGCTGGCGGGGTCTGGGTTTTGTTTGAAGCGCCATCTACAGGGTCAACCAGAACAACTGCCCCGATTGTGACGGGGGATTTCTTAACTAAGCCCCGTGCGACTCCAAACGCGATTTTACCTCCTCGACTGTGCCCCGAAATAGCAAGCTTGTCCCAATCGGGAACGGCTTTCACTTTGAGGCGGTTGGCGAGGACCTTCGCCAGTCGTTTACGCAGCCAGCCGATGACGTTGGCTGAACCGCGCATTTCTGGCGCTGTATTGTAGCCTGCTGTAACAGGGTACATCTGGGTTGTGGTAGGAGGGGGAAGAGGGGAGGAGGTTGGGGGGGGGAGGATGGGGGAGAGGCTAGATGAGAAAGGAATGGTGGGGCCATTGTATTGTAGCCTGTAGTTGAAGGGTACATCTATGTGGTGATAAATCTGGGGGAAAAGGGGGGGTGGGGAGGGGAGAGGAAAGGGGAAATGAGGGAGGAAGAGGAGGCCACCATCCACTCACCAGAACCGAGCCATGCCTAACTGCCAACAATAATCCCATACCTGAGAGCTAGGAATGGATATCTGAGCACGAAGCATACCTGGAGAGCGACGAAGATGTAGCTGTACTTGGCAATGCGCGTGAGCAGCTGGGAGTAGCCGTGTTGGAAGATCAGCACCAGATGCACACTTAACCACCGCACTAAACCCATTCTTACCCATCTGTACACCGAATGCACGCATCCACACACCTGGGGAGCCACGACGATGTAGCCGTGCTTGGCTATGCGCGTGAGCAGCTGCGAGTACATGGAGGTCTGAGCAGAGAAGCCGTGTTGGAAGAGCAGCACTGGCAGGGCGGTGGCTGTGGCGGGCTTGGGTGACCAGATGCGGAGAGGCCTGGGGGGGTTGCTCTGGTGGGGAGAAGAGGGTCCGGGGGAAAAAGGGGGAAGGGGGAGGGAGAGAAGAGGGGGAGGGGGGTGTTGGGTGGGCTTGGGGGACCAGATGCGGAGAGGCTTGGGAACGTTGCTCTTGGAGATGGGGGACGAAGTGAGGGGAGCAGGGGGAAGACCAGGGGGAAGGGAAGAGGAGAGATGGGAACAGATGGGATGGGACGAGAAATGACGGCAAAGGACGGCAAAGGATGGAACGGGATAGAAAGGCTGCGGACGGATAAGGAGGCAAAGGGAAGAAGGGTTGGGGAAGGGGTGCGGGGCCTGTCTTAAGTGGCGAGATGATTAGCGGCTCGCCGGTGGAAAGGCATGAGCGTTATTCTACCTTCAAAAGGAATCGTCGCCGTTTGAGAAGGAACGCTCCGCGTTTCACGGTATAGGGTCCGCGGCTGAACACTTTTCCAGGCGTTGCATCAAGAGTGTCAGCGGCCGTGTCAACTGAGGTGGCTGACGTTACATTTGAGCTGGCCGCCGCCGCATATGTACTGACCGCCTGACATTCGACACGGACGATTGACGCGAGGAAGCAGAGGACAGCTAATGACGTGGCAAGAGCAGTCGGGAGTATGCCACGCGGAAGCCTACATTTTGCCGTTTGAGGTGACTGGTAATCTACGGAAACCATCTCTCCAACCACGTCAGCAAAAGTGGTTCGCAACAATCGACCACTGATGAAGCTTGTTCAATAGTCGGCCCTACGCTGTGGTAACCACTGAGGCTGCTTCTGGGTGCCGTCAGTGTCAGGAAAACGAACGAAAAATGCGAGGGCCAGTATGGTAGCAGAACTCTGTATTATGGTAAGTTTGACGAACAAATAATTGGAAGCTGATCCTAGGGTGCAGGGAAAGTACGAAGAAGTATTTGCTTGCTACAGAGAGTATGGAGAGAGCACCTATTTCTGGGTACAATAGTGAGTACGGAGGAGGTATGTCCATAGAAAGTCGCTTATAAAATTACTGGCTGGATGTGCTGCCACGTGGACTGCCTAGGTTTCTGTGCAGAACTGACCCACGGAAAGAGAGACATTTCGGTGCGCGCTTCGGTGCGGTGCAGCTTGAATATGTAACACCTGGACAGTCTCTTCGGTTCGCCATGGCATTTTTGCAGGTGCTTTCGGTTCGCGAAGAGGAAAGCTGTTTTCGCCATACGCGTTCTGATGCACCGCGCCCAGAAATGGAACAAGCATTTCATGTACGCGCTACCAGCTTCTGCGAGAAGAATAGAGCGATTGAGGAGAGAAAATTACGAAGAACTGCTAAGATTATGTTAATTGATACAGCAAATGGCTTAACACCTTAGTGTTTCAAAAAAATTACTTGGATACAAGTGGGTCTAATTTGACAGGGCAATGGCCCGGGGTCGCAAGAATATCATCCAGGTTCGCAGAATCACTCAACAACTTGGCTTGCAAGAAAGCAACCATCATTCCAGCAGTAGCCACCTGCATAGGTCTCCTTGAATGGGCACCGGGACAAATCCCATTCGATGCAGGTGCCGTCGATCTCCCTGTTAGATGTATCATCTTAGCTGATGTAGAAAATCGAGTTGGAAGGTGTAGCTCTTGGTTGAGTTCACCACCACTCCATCGATCCCCTCGGCTATTGACCATGTCACTGTGCCCATAATTCGGCATCACCGCATGTACAGCCGGCCCAGCAAGGTCCGAATAAAAGTATGTATGCCCCAACTTTTCCGGGGCACAAGGTCTCCTTCCCTTTCTCCTTGGCACAGGCCCTAGCCCTGCTCCTATGATAAGTACAGGTGCACTAACAGTTAACGAATCAGGTTTCCTAACAAGTGTAGCAAATGTGTTTATTCCAAACCGGGTACCATTGGGATTACCATCTACAGGATCCAAAAGCACAACAGCCTTAAGAGGCACTGGAGAAGGCACTATAAGCTGCCTCAATAAGGCAAAGCAAACAGCACCTCCACGACTGTGCCCGGCAATAGCAAATTTCGACCAGTTGGGAGAGGCAAGGAGTTTGAAGCGGTTGGACAGGGTGGAGGAGAGGTGAGAGCGCAGCCAGGATATGACCCTGGCAGATGCACGGATCTCAGGGATTGCATTGGTGGTGGTGGTTATGGGATACATCTTGGAGTGAGAAAGGAGGAATGGGGAGGGCGAGAGGGGAAAAAACAGGGGGAAGGGGTGAGGGTGGAGGAGAGGTGAGAGTGCAGCCTGATGATGACCCTGGCAGATGCTCGGATCTCGGGATATGCATTGGTGGTGGTGGTTATGGGATACATCTTGGAATGACAGAAGGTATGAGGGAGCAGGTGGAGAGGGGAAAAAAGGGAGGAGGGGGAGGGGACGAGGGGAGAGTGCGGGTGCAGGAGAGTTGAGAGCGCTGCCAGGGCATCACCCTGGCAGACGCCGAATTTCAGGCCTTGCATTGGTGGCTGTGGTAATACGATACTCCTTTCCTCTCTTATACACACCTGGGGCGCGACACGATGAAGCCATGGGAAGCTACGCGGGAGAGCAGGCGAGAGTAGAAGAGGGCTTGAGCGGAGGATCTGTGTTAGAAGAGCAGCACTGGATGTGCACCCACCCACCCACTCACCGCAATAGAATAGATCCATGCTTATTTCATGCTTACTCATTTGTGCATAGATGCGCACGAACCCACCTGGGGAGCGATGATGAGATGACAATGAAGCCGTGGGAAGAGATGAGGAGAGCAGGCGAGAGTAGTAGATGGCTTGAGTGGAGAAAAAGCAGCACCGTGCGTGCACCCAGTCACCGCATTGAACCTATGCTTACCTATTTGACCTACCCACCTGGGGAGCAACGACAATGAAGCCGTGAGAAGCGACGCGGGAGAGCAGGCGAGAGTAGTAAATAGTTTGGGCGGAGAAGCCGTGTTGGAAGAGCAGCACTGGCAGGGCGGTGGCGGAGGCAGGCTTGGGCGACCAGATGCGGAGAGGCTTGGGGGGGTTGCTCTAGTATGGAGAACAGGGTGAGGGGGGGAAGGGGAGGAGGGGGGCGTTGGGGGAAATTGGGCGACCAGATGCGGAGAGGCCTGGGGGGATTGCTCTGTGGGGAGAACATGTTGAGGAAGGGGGAAAGATGCGGTAGGGGGACGGGGGGGGAGATGGGGTAAGGGGGAAGCCGTGTTGGAAGAGCAGCACTGGCAGGGCGGTGGCGGAGGCAGGCTTGGGCGACCAGATGCGGAGAGGCTTGGGGGGGTTGCTCTGGGGGGAGAAGAGGGTGGGGGAGGAGGGGGTTCGGGGGAAGCAGAGAGCGGGTGAGGGGAGGAGATGTGCTTGAAGGGCAGCTCGGGCAGGCAGAAGCGGAGAGGCTTGCTGATGAGAGGGGAGGGAAGGTTTGCTGGGGAACAAGTGAGGGTGAACGCGATGGAAAGTGAGGGTGAGGAAATGTGAGAGTGAGGTGAGGGATTGGGCGACGCGCGGGTAGTGTGCGAGAAGGGAACAGCAGGAAAGAGGAGACGAGGAGATTTTCTTTCTGCTAGTTTTGTTTCCTCCTCAGAAACGAGGCCAGTAGCCTCAGGAGCATTGTCATTGACGCCGCTAGCGGGTTTACCCATGGTGCGCGCGCGTCCCGAGTTATTACTACACACAGCATTTACCCTGAAAAGAACCCGTCGGCGCTGTGGCAGCCATTTCGCAGCCACCGGATAGGTCCCCTTGCTGAACACCTTGCCGGGAGTCTCGTCCGCACGACAAACGAGGGATGGGAAGAGGAGAAAGAGGACGAGGACGAGGACGAGAGAGATTACGGGATGTGAATACGAGGTTCGCATTGCTGGTGAAATCTAGGCTCGCTTGTGGCTGTGCTTAGCGGGAAGTTTAGCTTGAGGCTGGGGAGGAAATGCCAGCTTTTCGTGGGGAGGGAGGAGCGAGCGAGCCAGGTTCCAAAGGGGTGGGAGGGAAGAAAATGTTACGAAAGATGTAAATACAGTATATGTGATTTTTTTGGTTGGTACGGAACAGTATTGTAACTCGGGCGAAGCACGACGTACGATGCTTTGCTATACAGTATCACGGACAGGTCATGCACCCCCAGACCAGATACCATTCACTGAAAGGACAGCGGTGGCCTAGTGTCGGTGCTCCACACGTCGCATGATTTCTGGCTCCTGCATGAAAGGCGAAATGCCAGCACAACATAACCACCTCCAACTTGCTGGCGAAAGCTTCGTAAGCATCATCGGTTTCCTCAACAGTACCCTATGGTAACAGTTCCGCCGCTGCCTCGCTTTCGCCTTCTAGTTCGCCTGCCCCAGCACTTTGCCTCGTACGCCACCTCCATCAGCTTATTTCCAACCTGCATTTCACACCAGCCGCCCCCACGTCGACGCTTTCCACTCCACCATACCTTCTATGGTTGTCCTCACAGGTATTTCCGAGCGACATGGATAGGCCAATAATTCAACGCGAGCTCCCGCATTGGCGCTGAGAAGACGAGAACTCATTCACCGATATCTCAGCACTTAGCAGAGGCGAATTGAGAATTGACTTCCACATCACCCGAGTTGACCAAGCCCTACCAGCCACAACTAGTGGTCCATCTGTGCTCATGCCAATACGTGCAGAACGAAATCCAGGCATTCAGCTGACATCTATATGGCGACTTCTCGCTTTTCTTCGCTCATCTCTTTTATCCCGAGCGGTAGTAGCAAGGGGTTTATAGTCTCCTCTCAGGCGGTGAATCGCCCATCCCTCCTACGTCCTCTCGCGATTTCCCGCGTCGCGATCCTCGTAGTAACTTCGATCCTGGCCCTCTCTTTAGCATCCATCGTGTCCGACGCATCGCCCCTCCCTGACGTGTCGCCTCTTCCTGACGTGTCGCCTCTCCCTGACGCGCCTCATCCGCAGCCAACTGCCAGCTCTCTCCCGGAAACCCCTTATTCCGAATCCATTCCCGCGACAAACCCACCAGAAACTAGCACGCCCATCCGCGGACCTCTCTCCCCGCTCCGAAGTCAGTCTGCTCAAAATCCCCCATCGCCCTCCTCCGAGTTCCTGCCGACCGCTGCGAGCCTGATCGGAACGGATGACGGCACGCCGGGTCTGCCGGCCTGGACGGTCAATGGAACGGCGGCCGCGCTGTCGAAACTTGTAGGAGCGGACGGCACGCCGGGGAAGGTGTTTAGTCGTGGGCCGTATAAGCCGGTGGAACGATCTTCTATTGGCGGACCCATGTTCATTTTCAAGGTGTGTGTCCAACGTACCACCGCACATCACCGCACTTCACTGCTTGTCATCGCATGGCATCACAAGTCGCCGCATGGCATTGCACACTACCTGGGAAGGTGTTTAGCTCGGGGCAGCACAAGGCGGTGGATCAATCGTCGGTTGACGGACCCATGTTCGCTTTCAAGGTGTGCGCAATGCATTGCCTGCTCCTTGTTTCTCCCTGCTTCTACTTCCACTCTGCCTCATAACACAAGGAGCACCACTTGGTGGCGGGAGACATTACGAGGCTGCGGTTTCTGTAGTTAGCAAATTTTGTTTAGAACGCTCAGGCTCGAGGACCTGGTTGTAGAAAAAATCTTGTGTAAATCAAGTGGTGGTAACTAGTTTCGGCGTGAACACCTTCGTCAGACCAATGCATTGTCTGCTCCTTGTTTCTCCCTGCTTCTACTCCCACTCTGCCTCATACACTCCTCTCTTCCCTCCATCTGTCCCTTCGCCTCCCCTTCCCCTCACCCCATCCAGGTGCTGCCTCCGCGCCCTATCCTCCTATGGGCGCCTGCCACGTCATCACCGAAGTCCTTCCCCGTGGTTGTGTTTCAGCACGGGTGGGCCACTCGCAACTTCTGGTTCGCTGACATGCTCAAGAGAGTGGTGTCTCATGGCTACATTGTGGTTGCTCCGCAGGTACGACCTTCCCCACATATAACACCTCCCCGACAGGTTCAGCAAATACCCCCCTCTCCCCATCCCCTGGGCCACTCGCAGAGTCGCAACTACTGGATCTTTGACATGCTCAAGAGGATGATCTCTGATTTGACTTTGAGTCGACTCAAAAGTCGACATGCTCAAGGGGATGATATCTGACATGCTCAAGGGGATGATATCTGACATGCTCAAGGGGATGATATCTGACATGCTCAAGGGGATGATATCTGACATGCTCAAGGGGATGATATCTGGCTACACTGTGGTGGCTCCTCAGGTAACGCCTGCAGGATAGATAAAACTTCTTGGCAGATACCACCTCCCTGCCCTCCCTGCTCTCCCTGCCCTCTCTGCCCTCAGTGTTTTTTCTGACGGACCCGACCCCATCCCACCCTCCAGATGTACCCTCTAATTGGTCTCACAGGAGCCGTCTACGAGATGAAAGGATCCTGTGCTGTCATTCGCTGGCTCAAAGACAACCTCAAGGATTGGCTCTCCCGCCACCCGATCCTCCACCGCCGAACCAAAGCCTCGCCCGATTGGTCCAAATTCGCCCTAACCGGCCAGAGCCGCGGCGGGAAAGTCGCGTTCGGCGTGCTCCGGAAACTTTTCTGCAAATCGGTGGTGCCGATTAAAGCCCAGTTTTTACTCGACCCTGTTAATGGCGGTGGGGAGAAAAGTTCACGAAAATCCGGAGATTCTGTTCTTACATACGTCCCGAACTCGATTCAAGTCTCGGCTCCAGTAGCGGTGTTAGGAGCGGGACTGGGAGGTGCATGCGCCCCTGAAGGTGACAACTATAAAGAGTTTTACTCTGATATGGTTGGCCCAGCGTGGAAATTTGTTGTGCCCGAGTACGGGCACGCCGATTTTTTTAATAACTGGCTCGGCCTGGGGATTACTTTTATTTCGAAGAATTTTTGTAAGAATGGGCCGGCAAGAAGGCCGATGCGGGTGGTGACTGCTGGGTTGATGGTGGCGTTCTTTCAAGCCAAGCTTCTAGGTGACTCGGCGGATTTGGATGATTTAATGGCCAACCCAGGAAACTCCCCGGTCAAGTTGGACCAGCCTGTAACAAAACCATAATATACAGAATGCTGTTTGAGTTTGTTCATACTGCAAAATGCGTTTGCCAATTTGTGGCTATCGCCTTGTATTACATCAAAGCCCTTTGTAGCGAATCCTGGGCTTCGGTGCTGGGAGCGCATGAGCCTAGGAAATAAATTATTTGAGTGCTGGTAGCGGTGCTTGGTGGAGTGGAGTGTGAAACCTAGCGGCGGTGCTCGCAGCGTGAACCATAGAAATGATCCGTGCGGGGAAATTGCCTTGTCTACTGTGCGTTCCGGCTATACCAGTCACTTATCCAATAGTTTTACTCCAATGCCGGACTTCGTGCAAGAAATGTCAGCATGGCCTTGTCACATTGTACCCTTCTCTTCTTTCTGAGATGCCAAAGTCGTCAGGCCGCAGTAATTTGCCTCTTAGTCTTAATCGCTAGTCACTCGACGGCTCTCGCAAAGAGTTCAAACTCCTCCCAATCCTTGATATCACATATAGAAACCAGACGAAGTCGAACTTCTGACCGCTCTCTTATCCAGTCAATCCTTAACCGCAAGCTGATTGGTGAAGACCTCACCCCTGGAAAGGTCTTCTCGCGTGGACCCTATCGCGTGCTCGAGCGTAGGATCGGTACAAAGCGTCCTTTCGGCAGCCCCAAGGTATAAATGTCTAGATGCCTTTTGAGATTCCTCAAAGGCCTTCTCGCGTGGTCCTATCGCGTGCTCGAGCTTAGGATCGCTAAGAAGAGTCCTTTCGGCAAACCCAACATACGGATGTTGATATGTCGTTTGAGTCGACTCAAATGCCACTTAACTCAAATTCCCTTTCGGCAACTCCAAGATCCGGATGTGCTGATGTGTCCCGTTTGTGCTGGTCTTCGCGCTTCGCCAAAGTGGTTCCCTTGTCCTGTGGACCCCTGTCGCGTGGACCCCTGTCGCGTGGACCCCTGTTGTGTCTTCCCATGTTGGGTGTTTCCCTGTCCCCTTCCCCTTTAAGGTTAAATCTCTCCACTGCACCTTCTTCCCCCCCTCTCTCTCTCTCGCTCTCTGCACTGCTTCCGACTCTCCTCCTTCTCTCTCCCACCACTCTCCCTCCTCTCTCTCTCTTCTCTCATTCCCCTCTTCCTCCTCTCCCCCTGTCCTCTCCAGTTCGCCCCTCCAAAGCCCTTGCGCCTGTGGGTGCCAGTCTCCTCATCGCAGCTCTCCACGCCAGTGCTGGTTTTCCAACACGGCTTCGCAGCTAAAACGCACTTCTACTCGCAGCTGCTCTCGCGCATCGCGTCGCATGGCTTCATTGTCGTGGCTCCTCAGGTGAGTGTGTTTGTGGAAAGCTGAGGGTGTGTTTGTGGGGGGGGGGGGAGGGATGAGGGTGTGTGTGTGGGGGAGGGGAGGGATGAGGGTGTGTGTGTGTGGTGTGAGGGGATGAGGTTGTGCGTGTGTTTGTATTCCTGCAACATGCTGCAAACACTATTTCAACACGGCTTCACCGGCTTTGCTGCTAAAACGCACTTCTACTCTCAGCTGCTCTCGCGCATTGCATCTCATGGCTTCATTGTCGTAGCTCCCCAGGTAGTTGTGTGAGAGTATGAGATTGTGTGTGTGTGTGTGTGTGTGTGTGTGTGTGTTTGTGCGCGCGCGCATGTGTGTGTGTGTGTGTGTGTGTGTGTGTGTGTGTGTGTGAGGGCGTGTTAGTTTGTAAGGGTCTGTGTATGGGTTAGAGTGGTTTTACTGCATCTAACACCGCTTTGCTGCCAAAAAATCACCTCTACTCGCAGCTGCTCTCGCGCATCGCATCTCATGGCTTCATTGTCGTGGCTCCCCAGGTATGCGTGTGTCACAGTGTGAGAGTGTGTGTGTGTGCTGTACACGTGCGCCTATGATGCTAAAGACGCGTCCTGCATATGCGTCCGGACGCAGGACGCTTCACCAGGACCAGAAAGACGCACCAAAAGACGCAGTCCCGGGCAGGCAAAAAAAACCCCCGGGCAGGCAAAAAAACTTGTTATAGGGCATGGGATGAGGGGGGGGGGGGGGGGGGGGAACGTTCCACACTTTCAAGGCAAACTTGGCCCCAACATCAAATTTTCCCCCAAATCTCAAGATTAAGGTGAGTCACGTATTGTCACACACACACATGTCCCAAGGTCACATACATGCATAGTTTATCGTATCACTGAAGAACACGCATACTATTAAACTACCACCACAGCACTGCATGCAAGCAACCAGTCACTCATCCCCGTCCTCCTCGCTATCCTTCTTCTCATCCTGGTCCTTGTACTCATCGACCATCATGTCGTCCTCGTCCACCTCCCTCTCCCCATCCTCCTCCAACCTGTACCCCTCGGGGAGGGGAGGGGTGGGAATGTTCCCCTCCACTACCCCCGCCTTCCTCACTTCCCCACTTGGCCCTGCAACAACTGCACCCTCGTGGTGGCCGAGCACAGCCTTCCAGTTGTGCGCCACGAACACCAGGTCGCGCACCTTCTTCGACCCCAACCTGTTCCTGCGCGCCGTGTGCACCCCATCCCACGTAGCCCATCCCCGCTCGCACGGAGAAGCGGAAACGGCCTGTGACACCGCACGGATTGCAAGGCCTGTCAGATCGGCATACTCCCAGCCGTTCATCTTCCACCACGTCGCCATGTCCCCCTTCCCTGCCTTCAGCTGCGCACGCCCCTCTATCGCCTCCTCCGTCCCAAAGCACCCCCTGCCCTCAATGTACGCCAGCATCCCCTCCTGCAGCGCCATCATCGTTCCAGTCCTCTCGCCATCCTTCTTCCAGTACTTGTCGACGAAGGCCCTCGAGCGCGACAGCCAGACCTTCATCACCCTGGTGCACTCAATGTCCTTGAGATAGATCCCCTCCTCCTGGTTGACCGGGTTCAGAATCCGGCCTACCACGTGAAGAGGACAGGCCAAACTCTCGTCACAACGCCGCCTCAAGTGCTCCAGCAACCCCTCCTTATCCGCATCGCTGAGCGGACAATCCGCACTCTCCAACAGCGCCGACAAGTCCTCCGTCAGTTGCAGCATCATGTCGTACATCGCCCCCATCATCCCCTTCGCCGGCCCATCCGTCTTCCTCATCACCTTGTACGGCAGCGCCATTACATTCACGAAGGTATCCACCTTTGCCCACCACTCCACATCCAACACCGACGCCTCAAAGTCTTTCCCAGTCAGCTGCTTCCTCCCCTTCTCCTCCCAATCCTTGTGCGTCACCATCGCCGTCAGCTGAGGGCGAATCTCACGCAGACGAGACACCGCTATGTACTGCGTCCCAAAGCGCGTGCCCGCTGGTCGCAGCGGCTGAAGCGACTTCTCCTCCCCGTGCAGCTCGGGACAGCGCAGGAAGGCACGCGTCCACGTGTGGCTGCGAATGAACGAAATCATGTCGGTCGCCACAGGCACGACCTCCTGCGCCCAAGCCATGCTGTCGAAGTCCTCCAACAGCAAGTCGAGCACATGAGTGGCGCAGGGGACGAACTCAATGTGCGGGTACTTCTTCTGCAGCAGCTTGGTGGCGGACACGTAGTTGCTGCCGCCGTCCGTGCAAATCGCGACGACGTGCTCCGGTCCAACCTTCTCGATGACCGGCTGCAGGACGCTCATGATAAACGCTCCGCTTTTGGTCTCCGCCTTGCAGTCGACCGCCTCCTGGAAAACCGCTCCACTGGCGTTGATGCAGAGGATGTTCATCTACGCACGCCCGCTCTTGTCCCTCATCATATCGCTTGCGATCGTCATGCCAGTCTCCTTCCACGTCTTCGTAATGGGCGTCAACGCCTTCTCAATCTGCTGCTTGCACGCCAGCAGCCCGGCGCCTCCAACGTAACCACGCTTGGGGGGGACATAGCTGGTTCCGGCGGCGTTCACGGCGCGCAGCATGTTGAGGAAGAGGGGGTGCTGGCATATAGTCTCCCCCAAGCGCGTCCCCGTGATGAAGAGGCAAATCGCATCGTCGGCAGCACGCTTCGCCGCCTTCCCCCCCTCGCCATACCAATCCTCCATCCGCCCCTTCTTTGCCTTCGGTTCCGCTCCGCCATGGCCGCTCACCGCAGTAAGCGCCGCCTCGAAAGCCCTCTCTTTATCCTTGCGCGCCGTAATCTTTGTCTCCATCCCGCCGCGAATGGCGTCTGAAATGCTCTTAGGAATCTTCGCGCAAACAACACCGCCATCGCGCCGCACGTTCGCGTCGTTCCATTCAGCGAGATGCTGAGTGCACCGGCTACTACTGAAGGCGAACGATTTCTCGCACCAAAGGCACTCGCACTGCAATCCCTTTTTCGTCGGATCCTCGAATGTCCAAAAATGCCTATAAATATGGTGTTTGGGCTTTTGCGGTTTCTTCTCCACCCCATCACTAGTGAAACGCTGCGGGGGAGACTCGTCCTCGGCATAAACATCCCTAGATGCGTTAGATGACGTAGGGTTGCTTGAGGAAGCCATAATGGAGCTAAGCTATGCTTGTAGGCTAAAACCTCTAGGGTTTTCGAAATAGAATTGGTTGGGTGGGTGAAATGAGAAATGACTTGGTTGGATTGCTAAATGGGCTTGGTGGTAGGCACCTTGGTTGGGTTTTCTAGATGTGATGTGAAGTGGTTGAGAGGTATTTGGAATTCAATTGTTGAAGGGGGGGTTATGAAATTGAAATGTTGGGGGGGGGCTGTTTTTCAATGTCGAATTGGGCAATGTGGGGTCAAAATTTCGCGATTTCGACACTTGCGTCGAAATCGCGAGATTGAAATCCGTAATCTGGAAAAAAAAAAAAAATTCGTGGCAGCCCGAAAAAATTTCGATGTGCGTCCTGCGTCTGGACGCGCGTCTTGCGTCCTAGCGTCCAGACGCTGCGTCCAGACGCAGGACCCAGCGTCCTCTGAGCGTCTTTCGCATCATAGACGTGCGCATGTAATATTGTGTGTGCAATCTTGCATTGCATTGCATCTCATGGCTTCATTGTCGTGGCCCCCCAGGTATTCTCGAGGATCTATAGACACACACGCGCACACACGCTTTCTCTTGGCCAGCTTCTCTCACAATCATGATTAGGTGACTTTTGAGTCGACTCAAAAGTCATTCTCGAGGATCTTATGATAGACACACACAAAGAGGCATTCTCTTGGCCAGCTCCTCTCACGATCATAATTGCTCAATGCTGTGCTTCCTTTTGAGTCGACTCAAAACCAGCTTCTCTCACAATCATAATTGCTCACTGCTGTGCTTCCTTTTGAGTCGACTCAAAACCAGCTTCTCTCACAATCATAATTGCTCACTGCTGTGCTTCCTTTTGAGTCGACTCAAAACCAGCTTCTCTCACAATCATAATTGCTCACTGCTGTGCTTCCTTTTGAGTCGACTCAAAACCAGCTTCTCTCACAATCATAATTGCTCACTGCTGTGCTTCCTTTTGAGTCGACTCAAAACCAGCTTCTCTCACAATCATAATTGCTCACTGCTGTGCTTCCTTTTGAGTCGACTCAAAACCAGCTTCTCTCACAATCATAATTGCTCACTGCTGTGCCTCCCCAAATATTGTTGCCGTCCAGTCTTTCCCTGCATCTCTACATCCCAAAGAAATGTTTTTTCTTTGTTTGAGATGCCTAAAACACACTCCTCTCACTGGTCCATTCCTGTCGCATGTTTTGCCTGTGCGCAGATGTACCCCTTTGTAGGCAAATCCAACACAAGGCCGGAGATGAGAGGCAGTGTACGCGTGATCACATGGGTAAGGGCGAACCTTGAAACATGGCTGCAACAGAAGAAGCAGAAACGACCCCTGTCTGAAACAACGCAGCAACTTCAACCAAGCTCCTCCCCACACTCCTCGTTCTCCTCCTCACCCTCATCACCCCCCTCGTCGCCTTCTTCCTCCTCCCCTCCTCCCTTCAATCTTTCATCTTCCCCATCATCATCACCCAATAACGCCTCCCCCACTGCCACCCACCCTTTCAAAAACACTGTCCCTGATTGGTCCAAATTTGTCCTATCAGGGCACAGTGTGGGTGCCAAGGTGGCATTTGGTGTAACACGTAACATCGTCTCTCCCTCCTCCCCTGTCGTCATCGCTGCCCTCCTCCTATTTGACCCTTCGGACGGCACCTCAAATACCTCCAAAAACGTGCCGCCCGTTCTCGTGCACAGGCCCAACTCCCTTGTCGTTTCTGCCCCAGTTCTGATTGTAGGCTCGGGCCTCGGTCCGATCCCAAAAGGTCCCGGGCTGCCCGCTTGCCCGCCCAAATATTTTGGGCACAACACATTTTTTTCAGACTTAGCAGGACCTGCGTATTATGTCGTAGTGCCCAGGTATGGGCACTTGGATTTTTACGATAAAAACATCGGGATTTACGGGGCAATGAGTGAGGTGGCTTGCAAAAAAGGCCCGGCAAAACGGCCGATGCATGTCGCTGCATCCGGAATTGCTGTTGCCTTTCTAAAAGCTAGGTTACAGGGGGACTCGGCGGATTTGGATGATGTAATGAGTAATCCTGTTAACTCACCGGTGAGACTTGCTACACCTCAGTCTAAAGGGGCTTGATGCATGGCTTAAAAAAAAAAAAAAAAAACCCTTATTTTCAGCTGTACAATGTTCAAACAAACTTACGATCTTAAGGATGTACTCTACAATGACTACTACGAGACAAGGACAGCTAGACAGACACGGCCAGCTAGACATCTACAGCAGATGCAGAGGAAGCCACTAGCGGGCAGCAGCAGCTGCAACTGTAGCTGGTGCTGCTCCACATAAATTGGCAGGTGCTCCTACAGGTGTTTCTTCAGGTGTTTCCTGCTGCCGCCCCACTTTCCACCCCACCTCTGACAAAACCACAGGAGAATGCTCAGGGTGTTGCAATAGATCACAAAGATCCCTCACATCACTCCCCTTCCCTGAACCAATCACAGCACCACAGCCTCCCTCCCTGTTTCCCACAGCTGAGCCACCCGCAATGCTTCCTTCCGTATCACCCCCACACGCCCCTCCACTACCCCCACTCCTCAGGTACTCCCCCTCAAGCCTTTGCCTCTCCTTCTCCACCTCCTCCTGCTGCTCCTGCTGATGCATCTGCTCCGTGCCTTGCTCCTGATCACTGTGTGCGGCACCAGCAGTTGCCACGTCAGCTGCAACATTAACGGCAGTTGCCACGTCAGCCACATCAGCTGCAGCATCAGTCACTAATCTCTCCAAAGCCTGCCTCTTCTCTAAGCTCTTTGTTCCCCCTCCCACACCGCCACTATCCCTTCTCTCCACCTCCATCCCACTCCTCTCGCCCCTCACTCCCCTTACAGTCCCTCCCTTCTCACCATCCCCACCATCCCCAACCACAGCCTTTAAAAACGCCACTGATAGCCCTCCAGCCGCTACCCGCATCGGCTCCCTAGCAGGCCCGTTATTGCACACTTTGCTAAACAACGGTCCGTAAATCGGCCCCAAATCATCATCGTAAAAGTCAGCGTGGCCGAATTCGGGCACCGAAAAATGGTACGCTGGGCCGACCAGGTCCGAGAAAAAAACCTTGTGCCCGAAATTCTCTGGCGCGCATGGGTTACCTTTATCGGAAGGGGATTTGCCGCCTCTGGGAATGGGACCCAGGCCTGAGCCTATAACGAGTACAGGAGGGTTGTTGAGCAGAGCGATAGAGTCCGGTTGATGAGTGAGTGTGGGGGGATTGGTGGCTTTAGAAGCAGTTCCATCCACAGGGTCAAAGAGTATTGCGGCTTTAATAGGCACCGCTAACTGTGCCTCTATGAACCCACGCTGCTGCGTTGTAGACTGCTGCTGCTTTGTAGACTTAACTAACTCCCCCACCAGCTTTCGCAAAATTCCAAACGTCACCTTCCCTCCCCGGCTATGGCCTGCTAGCACTAGCCTTGACCAATCAGGCTGCGACACCACCACTGTCTCTTCTCCTGCTGCCTGTTCTCTGCCTGCTTCCTTTCCAGCTGCCCGTATAGCAGCCAAGGCAGCAGGCTTGATTCGTGCATCGATTAGAGTGTGCAGATTGGCGTGTAACCAGTTGATGACTTTCACGGCATCCCGCATCTCTGGCAGTGTGTCGAATCCAGCTAATATTGAGTACATCTAAGGGGGTGGGAAGGTGGGGTTAGGGAAAGGGAGATAAAGGGGAGAGGGGAAAAGGAGGGAAATACGCAGGTGTAACAGGCATTACCAGTACTGTACCAATAGCAATGATTTTTAATCTTATGTAAGGAAGGTGATATCTGAGGAGCCACGACGATGTAGCCCTGAGTGGCAAATCACGAGAGCAGGTCAGGAGAGTTAAGAGTTTTGCCTCATGCGAGGCAGGTATTACCTGAGAGGCTGAGTGGCAGGTGCTACCTGGAGATGGTAATACCTGAGGTTTCAGAACGATGTAGCCATGAGAGGCGATTCTTCAGAGAAGGTCGGAGTAGAAGTAGGTCTCATCCTATGTGAGGCAGGTGTTACCAAAGAGCAGGTGCTAACTGAGGAAGGTATTACCTGTGGGGCAATGGCGATGTGGCCATGGGAGGCTAGGCGACTCTCGAGAGCAGGTCGGAGTAGAAGCTGTAAGGCAGGGATACCTGGGGAAGGTGTTACCTGTGGTGCCACCACAATGTAGCCATGCGAGGCTATTCTCGAGAGCAGGTCGGAGTAAAAATAGTTATGAGATGCGAACCCGTGCTGAAACACCACCACTGGCACCTGCCAGGTGCTCCTCTGTTGCTGCCAGGTGTTTTCGAGCTTCTCATTAGGTGAATCGCCGGGAGCTGCTTCAGCTTCAGCGTCAGCAGCAGAAACAGCAACAGTGGCAGCTAGGGAAGAATCAGATAACTCCTTGCTGGGAAGATCTAGGACTGGGAGCCAGACACGGACAGGCTTGGGTAGTGGCTCCTGATTGGACGGGATGGGAACGGAACGGGGATGGGGCCGGCATGGGATGAGATGGGACTGGGACGAGACGTTTTCAGGAAGAACGAGCGGATTGAAATCCAGTACTTGTTAGTATCCATACCCAGCGACTAAATAGGCTATCCATACTCAACACGAGCCATGTAAATCCATTTTGCATGACAGAAAAGTCCATGCACATAAATCCTATATTCATGTGCGGAAAGAACATTTTGAGACGTCTCAAAAATGTTCTTTCTACACGTGGAATCCATATTGCATGACAGAAACGTCCATGCACATAAATCCTATATTCATACCTGGGCGAAAGAGCAGTCCCGAGGTCGCACGCTGTCCTCCACCACTCGGAACGGGCCGCGACTGAAAACCCTCCCTGGCGTGCCGTCCGCCGTCAGGTTGACGAAAAACGTCGGGCTCTTTTGACGGACGAAGACGACGGCGCAGGTGACGACCCCCACTCCGATCGCTGCCGCCCAGAACATGCCGAGCCGGGGCATGGACGGCATGATGGCGACAGATTCACTGAATCTGGCCGCGGGTTGGGCCGCAACGGTGAATTATATCGTAATGCGAACAAAATGACTCTGCTCGCTTGAACGCGAGACTAGGTGATGGGGAGTACGCTTTGATCGAGTGGCACACAGGAAACGGCGTGGCGAAGGACGAGAAGACAAGGCTTGGGAAGTCACGACAGAGGCTGTTTGGATGAAAATTGTTTGCCGTGCAAAAAAGGTGTTCGAATTGTACTCGCCACGAATATCCCCGAAATTTGCTCAGCTCACTAAAAATGACATAATTAGAATGCTATTCAAAGATGAAATTTTATTATTTTATTCTTCTCTCCTTCCAGATGGTGCTCTTTAGGGGACCCACTATCTAGTCTGACAATTGCTTGCTCTTGCCCCACTTTCGAGAGAATCTATGCAATCAGCAGCTGGCGACAGGTCAATCTGAGCCACTCGCATCGCCACGTCATCTGCAGGTCGAAAAGCCGAGCCCCTTCCCAGCTGGGCATCGCCGAAGCGCGCCTAGATGGCTCAACATCAAACCAGACCGCGCCTCGTTGCATGTCCTATGTGCGACTCCATTCGCGACACTCGCCAGCTTGCTATTCAATTTTCGTCACTTTCCGCCTCGAGGGGGAAGCGAGCGTGGGGGGAACGAGGGGAGTACAGTAACAGTCAGGGTCAGGCGAGTGGCGGGGGAAGTGAGGGAATGAGCGACGAGGGGCGAGAGAGGCGAACGGGGGAGTCGGGCGAACCGCACGAAGCAAGTTGCGGGCGCGGGGAAACGAGATGTTACTTTCGGCTGCGCCGCACGCCTGCTCCGCCCCCAATTCTATACCACTCCACGACGCTACCAGCGCTACCAGCTCACTCAACGTGCTGCTGCCGCTGCGGCTGCTGCTGCTGCGGCGGCTGCTGCGCCGAGCGTAAAGTGTGATTCGCGCATAGATGGATTCCTTCCGCCATCTATCCCCACGCGCTCGTGGCGCCACAGCCGCAGCTGCAGCAGTAGCAGCAGGAGTGATGTGCCCGCCCACGGGGAGGGGCAATGCGTTTTGAGACGTCTCAAAAAAGGAGGGGTGTGCCTGTGGCCTGTACACAGGGAGGGGCACAATGTGGCGACTTATATGAACGGAGAGACGGCAGCAACGAATGTGGTAGCGCGGAAACGCATTTATGCTCCTCGTCCTCTCTCCAGTGTTTCATTTCCGCTTCACGCCAGTAGAAGATTAGGCTGGTATAGGGAGCTGTGGTGCTAGCTGTGTGGCACATTAACCAGGCCCGTGACTTTGAGAGCAAAATCGTCAATTAGAGCGCTCGGTTCTGCCAGGTTCGGTCCGGTTCTGCCAGAGTCTTATCTGGCTGTGTCAGGTTCCATTCATCGCCTTTCATAGTTCAGTAATTGTGCTTGCCGAAGCTTTGCTTAGCTGCCATGCTGCCTGGAGCAGGAGGAGGGGGGGGCGCGGGGAAGGATGGCAAGCGGAAGATGTTTGCAAAGAGCCCTCGCTCCTTCCACCACTGGGTCAGCCCGCTGCTGCGACTCCTGCAGGTTATCTCTTTACCTTGGGTTTGGACCCTGGCATGGATGATAGCCGTGTTTGAGGCGCCTCTGTTTCATGTGCTCTTGTGCTCATGCTTTACAAGAGCCCTCGCTCCTTCCACCACTGGCTCAGCCCGCTCCTGCGACTCCTGCAGGTAATCCCGTTACCACTACGATGTCTACCCAGTTATGCCCAGTTCTTCCCGGTTGTGACCGATCGTGGCCGGTTCTGCCCGGATCTGCCCGGTTTTGGCTGTTATACCACTGGTAGTAAAATAAGTCACGAGGACACGAGGGGAAGGAGCGGGGAAGGATGGCAAGCGGAAGATGTTTGCAAAGAGCCCTCGCTCCTTCCACCACTGGGTCAGCCCGCTGCTGCGACTCCTGCAGGTAGTCTCCTTAGCAAGAGCATGGTATCTGCTAAAGCAGGCCTCTGCTGCTGCTGCTGCTGGTGCTGTAAATGGTGATGGTGATGGTGATGGTGATGGTGGTGGTACAACCCTGTCTCAGCCTCCCTTTTTCCCTCTCCCTCCCACCCCTACCTTGCTGTTTGTACCCAGCTGTTCGCGTGAGTGCGCTGGCAGTGATGCCGACAGCCAAGATAGACGGTGTTCACACAACCTCACCCAACCCCAACGTCCACCCTCTCCCTACCAACCTTCCCCCTCTTCCCCTCCCCCTCCCCTTCCACACCCCCAGCTGTTCGCAGCGGTGTGTGCGCTGGCAGTGATGCTGACAGCCAAGGTCGCCGGGATAAGCTACTCGTCATTCCACGCCTTCCGCTACCTCATTGCTGCCAGCGTCATCGCTGGATTCTGGGCGCTGCTGCTGCTGCTGCTGCTGCTGCTGCTGCTGGTGGTGGTGGTGGTGGTGGTGGTGGTGATGGTGCTCCTGACTGATACACCCCTTCCGCCCCAACCTCCCTATTTCCTTTTCCGTCCCTCCCTGCCCTCTCCCTTTCCTCCAGCTGTTCGCAGCGGTGTGTGCGCTGGCAGTGATGCTGACAGCCAAGGTTGCAGGCATAAGCTACTCCTCCTTCCACGCCTTCCGCTACCTCATTGCTGCCAGCGTCATCGCTGGATTCTGGGCTCTGCTGCTTCTTCTCATCGATCTTGGGCTGCTGGCTGCTGGCATGACGTCCCACTCAGCCATCTTCAAGATCCTAAGGATCATCGGAGACTTTGTAAGTCGTTTTGTCCTTTTTGCGCATGGGGACGCTTGTAACAAGGATTTTGGTCTCTGCTGCTGCTTCTGATCGATCTTGGGCTTCTGGTTCCTGGCATGACGTCCTACTCAGCCATTTTCAAAATCCTGACGATCATTGAAGTCTTTGTAAGTTAAATCTGTTGTCTAGCGAGGATGCTACTAACGAGGATGGTTATAACGAGGATGGTCTTTGCTACTTCTCATCGAGTTTGGGCTGCTGGCTGCTGGTATGACATCCCACTCGGCCATTCTCAAGATCCTCAAGATCATTGGAGACTTTGAAAGTTCCATCACAGGACTTAATGGGATGCTTATAATGAGGATACGGGGCTCTACAGCTGCGTTTGGAACTCCCAATGTTCTTCCTGCTGCTCTTGCTGCTGTGGCTCTTCTGCCACTTCAAACCATCTTCTCAACTGCCTCTTGATTAGCCGTTTCTCTCTTCACTGTTTTGTTTCTATTCAACAATCCTGCTCTCCATTTTCCTTGCCCACCTACCTTGCTTCCCCTCGCGTGTCCCTGCATCACACATGTTGCAGCAGCACTACTGCTGTCAGCAGGTGCAGCAGCAGCAGGGGTCTACCTGCCTTTTGTGTTCGCCTACCTACATTGCTTCCTCTCCATGCATGTCCCTGCATCACACAGACGATTTTTGAGGCGCCTGAAAAAATACCTACATTGCTTACTCTCCATGCATGTCCATGCATGTTACCACTTTACCATGCATGTCCCTGCATCACACAGATTGCAGCAGCACTATTGCTGTCAGCGCTTTTGAGGTGCCTCAAAAGTCGTCACATATCTCGCTTCCCCTCCTTGGTTGCCTATTCTATTTTTCGCATCACACAGATTGCAGCAGCACTACTGCTGTCAGCAGGAGCAGCAGCAGCAGGGGTAACTACCTTCAATGACCAGGGTGGTTTCCCTTACCAGCAAACCATTTGCGAGGGTAACACCCCCTGGAATTTCTTCTGTGGGAGGTCCAAGGCTGCGACTGCCATGGCACACATTGGTTTCTTCTTCTTCCTGCCGTCCATTATCCTCGATATTGGATCACTCGCCGTGGAGTACTACGAGGCTATATAAAGAAGGTTGATTTACGGTCAATTTGACAACCTCTCTAGGTGGTGGCTTATTCTTAGTTTACATTGTTGGGGTTAGGGTTGGGAAGATGTTTAGCATGTTTCTCTTCTGCATAACAAAAATACATGGATTGTAACATAATCAGGTAACTAAAATAAATGGTTCCATTGTAACATCACAGATCAAGCATGAGGGTTCACAATATCAGTGAACACAAAGACATGGCTCTCCTCAATGTCCCCCATACTCCCTCCCCACATGTGCTTTCTGTAACACTCCCTTCAGGTCTCAGCATACTGCATCATATACTGTAATGCAGTGACAAACAATGATCCTATAACGGATTGACTCTACAGCGAATAAATAGTGTAGCAAAGCAGCGATGTCAAACCTTCAAAGATTTGGCAGAGGCTTCCTGCTCAAGTTACACAGAACTGAACACCAGAACCTTTCTAGTATGCCACCAGACGCGCCTACCACAGTCCCCCCTCTATCTTTTGAGACGCCTCAGAGGCTTCCTGCTCAAGTTACACTGAACTGAACACGGGAATCTTTCCAGTACGCCACCAGGCACTTCTACAACAATCCCCCCTCTCCGTCCCTGCCTGTGTCAATCCAACGTTCCTTGTTTCCTAACCTCTCCCCCTTTCACAAAATGCTGCCCTTTCCCTGGCCCCTCCACTTCCCCATACTACTGCTGCCCATACTTGGAAGTGATATAGAGCAGCGACGACCCTGCCTCGACATCTCCCCTCTCCACCCCTCCCTGTCCCGCCCCTCATGCTCTCCTGCCTCCTCCCCCACCTCCCCCCTCCCTCTCACGCCCCGACCGCTCTCCAAACGACCCGGTAAACAACTCCAGAGGTGCCCAAGTCCCGCCCCCACAGCTCCCCGGCTAGTGCTGCCCATCCTTGGGAGTGATATAGAGCACTTGTGTCTCCCTTCCTTAGCACCTGCTCACCCTAGTGCTGCCCATCCTTGGGAGTGATATAAAGCAGCGACGACCCTGCCTCTACATCCCCCCTCTCCACCCCTCCCGCCCCTCCTGCTCCCCTCCCTCCTCCCCCCTCCCTCTCACGCCCCGACCGCCTCCCAAACGACCCTGAAAACAACTCTAAAGGCGCCCACGTCCCGCCCCCAGTGCCCTGCCTCCCACTCCCCCCCGAACCGC